GAGGATCGTGCATCATACGTAAAGTATTCTAATGTAACCTAAGAGTACAGAGCTAGAGGTTTTGGGTTAAGATAAAGTTGTCTTGTGAAAGGTGTAGGCTTTTTCAATTTTTTTATCCATTTTTTATCATACAATCTATACCTGTGCAAAATGCAAATCCCATAAGGAAACCTGGAACAGGAGAAACTCAGGTTAACAAATTAGAGAATGATAGACATGCTCAAACAATAAATTACAGTCAAACCTCTCTACTACGGACGCCAAAGGGGCAGAACAAGGTGTCTGAATAACAAAGGTGTTATAAGGTTTACAATGGTCACCACAAGACAACACTTATACCCCTCCATTGACCATTTCAGAGGAATTGATCTATTGTAACTTGGAGAGCTAGTTTGAAAACTGGTAAGTGCTCTAATACACTAAAGAAAAATAATGTGCTGTTTGAAACCTGTCCAATAGACTTTTATTTGTGCTGCATAGCTATCTCCTCAAATGAGTGTAACAACAGTGTAATGCCATGATGGTGTGGCAGTGATTTTGAGGAACTCTTCTTAGCTCTTCCTCTTTGGATCCCCAATTGAACATTGTGTGATTTTGAAAAAACATCAGAAAAGGAACATTACAAATGACTTCAACACTGTCTTTCTTTTTTGTTGAAATGTTAAAGCCTTGCAATTCTCAAGAAAAAACTAACCTACTTGCTAATGGAAGTTTCTTTTTAAGGTACCAAAATATAATGTCTACTATTAGTAACAAATATCAAAATCATATTCCCATAACACTGACTTATGGCAAAATTCTCCAAACCCAACATTCAATATCATTAAACAAGATACAATGACACATAGCTGATAGTGGTTTATATCAGTTCTACGAAAATACAAATGGTTTCACAGATTTCCTAAATGATGTTAATTAGTGCAACAGTCCGAGCTTTTCTCAAGTTTCTGTGCTGCAAAATTACATGCATTTGAAGGGAATGCAATTCCCACAAAAAACACTTACATGACATGTTCATGTAAATCAGTTAACTAAAACTCATTAAACACGTGTACTGAGACAAAAGTGAGTGCAATAAGACAAAGAGATTGGAAACATTATTCTACTGAAGATCTCTTGAATGCATGAGCCAGTCACTACACTTTGTTGGGTTTTTTTGAAAGATGAAAGTGTGTGTGTCAAGACTAAAATTAAGCTGCACCACATACTCTCTTGTAGATGTTTGTACTTAGGATTTGTTTATGGCTTTCCCACTGCATAAGGGGCAATTTGGATGGTTCCTTGTGGATTCAAGTTTCAAATAGTCTTTCTGATTGCAAAGAGCTAGCTTGAAATGGAATCATCAAATGTTGGAGTATTGTAGGTTAAAACAAACAAATTCACAGTAAGGAACTCCAACTGCAGTCTGAAAACAATATTTAACACAATCATAAATGCTTCAATGAAAAAACTAATTTGATCTGCTTCTGGGATTCATTTCCTAGCACAAGACCAAATTTCTGCCTCATTGCTTGTTTACAAAATTTCATATGCAGAACACCATCTTCAAAGTATAAACCTTGAAATTGTTACCCGTCAAGGAAAAGGTTCTGGCCATTGACCAAGGTTAGATTACAGTTGAAAAACAGGTTGAAAACAATAATTTAAGGATTTATCATTTTCTTTTCAATTTTGTAGTTTAAAAAGAAGATAAATTTGATGTGACTTCAAAGATATTTGCAATCTGCCATCTTTCAATTAATTGTTTACGTCTTCTCATTGCAAAGACTGTCAACTGTTAATAATAACAATGTCTGCCACAACATAGATACATCTGATGGACACTCTATTTCCTGTTCCTTCCTGCAATTTTGTCACTAACATTTTTGATGTTGCATTAAACCAAATCCATTTTCACTAATTCACTGAAGGATGGTTCTTGAAGTGAATGATGTTTGAATCAACTTCCCATTATTTGCATAGCAGGAATTCAAATACAAATTCTTACACAAATTCCCACAGCAATCCCATTCATGTCAAAGAGTACATGCATAATGAATGACAGAGAAAAAATCTAAATACAAGCCTTTGCTTACTCACATGCAACTTTTGTATTGCATGCATGTAATTATACACACTGAAAGTGCATATACAATTCTCATGCATGGGAATTGTATGCACTTTCAGTGGGTCTGCTGCAGTACATGTGAGCAGTACTGTAAATATCAAATGTTCTGTATTTCCAGACAAGTACTGTATTTATCTGTGTACAAGTCAACCTTATATGACCGAAAAATCACCCAGACTTACACGGGTCATATACAAAGACTGGACCTGAGCAATCTAAGAAATTATCATAACAATTGCCTAAAGTTCGTTAGGTAAACCAAGTTTACAAAACCAGTTCTAATTATGTTCAAGTTTCATCAGTTTTCAGTGTTCTTCATCAATGAAAAAGTTTGAAATACCTAATAAATTTTACCTGGCTTAAACAGAAACCTACTGGAGCTGATTTCTATTGTATCTTCTGACATTTTTCCTTATAGCATCACTGCTGTTTACGGTGCTGAACTCTCATTTTCATTGAACGCTTGCAGTAGCTTAGTGACCTGGCTAATGCTGTTTTCTTGCGCAATCTTGTTTGATATGGCAGTGTTTCCATCAAGTGATCCTTCCAAGCTCTTTGGTGTTCTTTTGGTCTACTAAATCTCCTTTCAAACTCAACATTAAGATAAAGGTTATTAAATGCATGAAGAATTCATCTTCAAAGCGATTTACAAAATATGGTAAATCACTTCTCCAGTAAATTGAAGTGCTCGTATATGCTCAAATTGTGAATTGTGGTGATGTAAACGACTGCTACTAAATTTCACAGCACACGATTACATTTTGCTCTGGTTTTTTTTCTAATACCATGTTTTCAATACATTCTCAGAAATAAGAGATCAACCATTGAGGAAATTTCCATCTGTCTGAATTTTTCTTCAACTAGAAATCATGAAAAATCAAATTTTTGACCATGAAAATGGGGGGGGGGGTCTACTTATACACGGATAAATATGGTATGCTGCTTTGCCTTAGTGCATTGCAAAAATGAAAGTCTACATGATTTTTTAATTTCTTACCCACTCTTTTAGTCTGATTCTTTCCATCATATGGAGTCAAACTCAATGCAATCAGAAGGCCAATAGTAGCAACAGCTGACAATAGTCCCCCCTGATAAACAAGAAAGAAGTAAGCAGGTTTTCAATACTAAGTACTCATTGACTGAGTGGGAGAACCAGACATAGAAATATTTGGCTCTAGGTCATGATAAACAAGGTGCATGCTACATGAACAAGAACCAAATATTTTCCCTAGCCAGCCCAACCAAACATAATAAGCATTTTGTAATGTAACCACTTCCAAAATTTTTTCCAACTTAAATTATGGTGCGCCGAAGCCGACAAAAATACTTGTGTATGGATATGTTATAGTTCAATTTTATCCTTGGTTCAAATTTTATTTTCCTTTGTTTCAAACTCATTACCATACATTAACATGACTGAGAACAAAGGAAAATAAAATTTGAACCAAGTATAAAATTGAACTACAACAGATATATAAGACTTGTTTTGTAAAATATACCACTCGTTGCAAAAATATAATCTCGACTTGTTTCGTAAAATACGTGATTTGTTGCGAAAATATAACACTTGTTTAATTTGTAAAATATACAACTTTGTGTAAATATAATATTTTAACAGCGCCAGCCATTTGAGTGTTCAGCAGTAAGTGGAACATAGCCCACCATTCCTCAAGCCTCAAAAAAGATGGCAGATGAGTTAGGAGCTTTTCTTGGAGTGTTAGAACTTGGAAAACAAATTTGCGAGGACATTAGATGAAACTTGTTTGTGGCAGATAAAGAAGCAGCTGAAAAACTGAGGAATAACTCTGTTCAACTTATCATCACACTCATTACAAAAACGGCAACTAATCAGCATGCGCCCTGCTGCAAAGCAGCTGACCACAGACAGTGTGGGTGCCCTTAAAGTATCATTTTTCACCAAGAACAAGTCTTATATTTTACAAAACAAGTCTTATATTTTCGCAACAAGTGGTATATTTTACAAAACAAGTTTTACATTTCAGCAGCAAGTCTTGTATTTTACAAAACAAGTTTTATATTTTCGCAACAAGTCGTATATTTTACAAAACAAGTCTTATATATCCATACATAAGTATTTTTGTTCACTTCGGCTTGCCATATTAAATAGGAATCGATAGACGAGTGTACAAGGGACAACCACATACAAGATTCAACAATCCTTTGTTTTTTGAGTCTGAACAAGAAACTCACAATTCATCCAAAAATGTGACTTTTTCTACCTTTTTTCTTTTACCCCTTAAGTTTTTGCAACAAAGCCGTGTGAGTGTAGGGCCAGGCAGCTTTTTCTAGATCAGCTCACATCAACCTGACCAGCCCTACATATAATTTATCAGCTTTCACTGTGGTTTTCTTTGGGATTGTGTGTATGGGGTCATATGATAACATTATTTATCATTTCACGATGCATTCCAAAGTAATACTTGTAAGGAACAACCAACCCATCCAAGAGGATTACTCATACTCATCGTCACTCCATGTTATAGAAACTGGGATAAGCTTAGGGAGAGATGGATATAACAAGGGTTGTAAAATGTTGGCATAGTTTTCTATCTTCTTTAGTTCTTTACTTCAAGACATTGAGTACCTTCAATACATCTGTAAACAGATGCACTCCACTTCCAACAGCTGCAATAAGCATGGACAAAGACAAGCAAGTATACACCTTCTTCAAGTGCTGGATTGTAGGCTGATCACTGCACGATATATAAAAAATCCAATCAATTTCAGTATAGTTGTTGATTCATGTACATGACAGAACAGAGTTTCTTGTGATGTATGTATGTGTACCTGCTCCTTCATGCCATATTTATGCACATTTTTTCAACTGTACTATCAGCCTAGCACTTTGATTTGCATTAGATGACATTCACTAAATAAAGCAGGCAAATAAAACATCAGAACAGACACTAGCAAATTTTCTTTGAATTCTGCCACAAAATTGAATAGTTTCCTTGTTTTTTTAATTTTTAGCCACAAATGTATCTATTGGCTTTCATGATTCCACAGTATAAAACAGGTATCGACGAAAACGGTTGATGAAGCGTAATGATTGATATATGAGTGCAATTTTTAAGAGTTTATACTGTGGTGTAACGCAGGTTTTAGAGGGGAAGGAAAGCCAGGGCCCGCACTCATTTTCGTGCAAAAGTTAGATAGAATACGAGAGCATACACAAAAGCATACTAAGACTTCCTATTCTTGAGAATATCATATAGAGTAAACGACACATTTCCCCTGATTACGGAAGACTTTCAGTTTGAGTTACAATTCAGTTGGACTGCACTGAATATTTTAAACTAGCTTTACTATGGCTTAAGCCACCTGTTCAAACCATCATATCCATCAAATAAAAAAAAATTCTACATTTTTAACACTGTACGTTCTGAAGGAGAACATAGGTTCTCAAGGCAAGATTTTCTCCTACTTCAACCTCCAACAACCTCATGCAGCACAAACAGATCTTCCACAAAGCCCAAATTGAACAATTCGTACTTACAGCTTCGAAAAATCCTTCAAAGCACTGAATGAAATCGGTTTGCTTCCAAATAAGCTATCCATCTTGTAATCTCAGTTTTTTCTTCCCTCTCTTCGCAAGGAATCGAAAAATATGGAATGTGAAAGCAATCCTCAGCCCTGAAGATGTCGCCCTTCTACGTGCAACGATATAATTGGACTTCGGGAACTGTACAAACGATCGGATTGGTCGGTGTTCGCCGAAGAAAAATCGGGAGGGTGACGTCATAAACGAGAAGATTGCACACCTGTCATAGCCAAGTAGTGGACGTCACAAAGTTCAATCAATTTAATCAAAAAACTACTCAGAGATTCGCAAAAGTCATTACAAGCTAAGCAAAAAAAAAATTACCCGATCCTTTTTTAGTACACGAATCAGAAGGGCCACACTGGAAGGGATCTCCAGTAAGATTTGACTTCTGTTTTCAATAAACCTCATGAGTTCTCCCTACCCGTCCCCCCTCGAAATTTTTTGCCAGCTAGCCAAAGGTGCTTTTCTGTTTTCTCCATCTTCCCCCAGTATTTCTCCTCAATTTTCACATTTTTTCTGGATTTCAAGGAGTTCTTTACTGGTCAGGGCTCGCGGCTAACTGGCTCTTACTGATTGGAATATTTTTCTCGGAAGTAACAGTGCCTGGATCTTTATTCCAGTGTGCCTTGGAGAACGGCCTCCCATTTCCTGCCTTGACTTTGGAAGGTCAGGAACCCCGGTTCCCAGCTTTTCGGTGCATTTTGGAGTAAACGTGACTGCTGTGATGCAAAACGATCCCCAATGCCATTTAAACTAGGAGATTATAGACACGTATATCAAGGCCCCCATATCACGGTCCCCAATGCCATTTAAACTAAGAGATCATAGATAGGTATATTAAGACGTATATCACGTACCTCTTTTTCATTTATTTATTTCTCCAAACCTCAGCAGAAATAGATAGAAGGTGAAAATAAAGTAAAAGATATAAAATGTTCAAGGAAACAATACAAAATTACACCAATTAGATTAAGTCAGAATGTACATAGGAAGGAGAGGAGAGGGGCACGTGTAGATAAACTAATATTGTGCCCCTTAAATGACGCCAGTATAACAAAAAAAAAGAAAGAAATTTTTAATTTAGAAAGTAAAGGAAAACTTATAAAATAGCTCAGTAGATTGTCAAAGAGATGATGATTCATTAGTTTTGAGCAAGATACCAGCGTAAAAGTGCTTTTCTAAACATCTTTTTAGAGGGTTTGTCTTTGATCAATTGCGGAATACCATTCCAAAAGAATCTTCCAATAACGCTCGGGCAGAATCTCCTGAGATAAGTTTAAAATGAGGGTACTACTTGATTAGATGATGCACTGTGGGTATTGTAGTTATGTAGTTCAGATACTAGTGAAACAGGTATATTAGGAAACTTTTCATTGTGGAAATAATCATGAAAAAGCATACATTTGTTCAGTTTAACAATATCAGAAAATTCCAAAAGGCTTAGAGATAAGTAGTGTGGAGTTATTGATTCCATTAAAGGAACATCATTGGAGAACGAACTGCTTTGCTTTGTAATTTTACGATTTGAGAGAGTGGAGCATTATGATTATTTTCCCATAGTGTTCAAGCATAAGTACGGTAAGGCTATATAAGAAAATAATACAAACTAATAAGTGTTGCCTTTAAGACATAATGTTTTAACTTGACCATTAATCTTTATATTTTTGCTACATATGTAGTCAATATGACTAAGCCAAGTAAGGTGATAATCGATATACACACCAAGGTATTTGACGCAAGAAGACTTCTCTAAATGAACATTCACTGCACTTAATGGTGAGTACAAATT